GTTTTAAGTACTCTATTTTTATTCCTATTTATCCCATTTCACAATGAACACTCCTTGTCTGTCTGTATTGTTTACTGCCTGTCTATACTGCTTATTTTGCATTGTTTGCATTGTATGCACTGTTTGTTGCTTGTAAATACTGCTTATTTTGTTATAATACAGCCTTATGCTGGTTTACTGTTTACTTGCCCCTTGCATGGGGATATGTACATACACATTGAGAGCCGATGTACCAGAGTCAAATTCCTCGTGTGTCTGACACACCTGGCCAATAAAGCAGATTCTGATTCTGATCAGACAGGCCACTCAGTTTATGTCAGTTACACAGCACCACAGTATCATGTAACATTAACCATCTTAATACTGGTCATACCAGACCATGTAAGGTTGCATTAGAGAAACCACTGAGGAATGATGTGTTTAATAACTTAAACTTTTTAATTATAAAAGTATAAGAAGTATGACAAAGGAAGAATGACAGAAGTGATAGTATCTGCTTAAGTAATGCTCAATGACATTCAATTTCAGAAGCCCTCACTAACATTGCTGCTACTACTGCTCCAGCTGATGTCATTCAATTATCCTCTGCCTTCCCTTGAGTTCAGTCTGTGTTAAAGTTTTATTGTACTTTTCACTTGTTAGATTATGCTGTTGTATTGCACTTTGACATTACATTTTATACTCATTCAGAATCAATAATTTAGTGATAACTTTGATGCTGTTTTTCCACTTTTTAATACTCTTCCAGTTTTATAAAATGTCTAAACACATTTTCATACCTCATGCTATCTTGAAATAATTATGTTCATGATAATGGACAGACATTCCAATTAGGGTTTATTCATTTCAAGCTTTGAAGTGCTTTTCACTGAAGAGCTGCATGATGCATATGGAAAATTTTTAATGTGAAAAAGTCATGTTTCTTAATCCTAAAAACCATAAACGTATGACATAAGTCAGAATGATAATAGAGTATGTTTGCTGAGAGCTTTTTCATCTGTCTTTTGTTTCCCTTTATTTAAATGTGCTAATTCTGTACCTAGAAATATTGTATTACTGAGACTTTTCAGAAGCATCCACAATCCAACACATACAATAATAGTGTCACTATAACTGCTTTGAACAGGTGTTGCATCGTGCTGGAGCCGGGCCTTCTCTCTCTCTCTCTCTCTCTCCATTGCCAGTGCAGCTATAGCAACTGCAAAATGTTCCCCTGGCCCCTGTGCAACACAGGAAATCATGATCTGTGCTTTGTATTGTAGGCTCACATGTGAAGCATTTCTTGCATTCAGAGGGGAGCATTTAGTAATACATGCCGTACTTAACATTGCTTCACAGCTGTTTCAGGGTGAATAAAAGTGTTTGGAGTAGTAGGGAAGGACACGGGGCTGAGGAGGGTCTACATGCCAGGTTAACAGGTTCAGAGGGCTGAGAGATACAGTGAGAATCCTCTGTTGAAACCTCTGCTGCTTTCTGCAAACCACTAACTGTGTTGACAGTATTTGTGTGTGTGTGAGACACCACTCTCTCTATGTTGACATATGTTAATAGCAGTGGAAGGAAAAGGATAGGAGTCAGAATAACAGAGCTCCTTTCATACCAGCCTGACAACCTTCTGCCAGCTCATGTGTGATGGAAATGGTGGTTATGACCTGAACTGATGTGGTATGGTCGAAGCACTTAAAGTACTTTAAATTCACACAGGCAATTTGCTGATCACTGCAGATTATTTTCAAGCATTAAAACATTCTTTTTATGTATCTGATTAATTTTGTGTAAATGCACAGGAAGACTGCAAGCTTAATTTGTAAGTGCACTGCATGTTTAAACTCTTTACTGATAGTTTGACTCATGTCCTGTTACAATACTGCTAAAAATTTGTTATCATGTATGTTTTTTCACACCCACTTACAGGCTCTTTATTTATGATCCCTGAGTGGGTTTAAGACTAATCACTCCCTTCGCTCTGATCTGCAGGTCACAGAATACACAGAGCCTTTGGCGCCAAAACATAAATTACATTTTTTTCTTTGGTTTTTAACGTATGAGTTGTTTGGCACAGATATATTTGTGCAGGATCACATTCAGATGGTGAAGGTATAGTATTGTAAGTGGTTAAAGTATTGTCAAATCTAAATAGTAAGTAGGCTTTCCTCTTCAATAAATGATTTCTTTTGCAGCAAATAAGGTGCTTTATGACTTTATTTGTGTATGGTTGATATGGAGAAAGCCTTTATAGGCACATGAAGATTGATAGAAAGCAGACTCATGAGTATGTATGTGTATACAGCACAGTAAGTGTCTGACTCTTCTCACATCACATGCAGGGCTGATTAGTGGAGTGTAAAGTGACAGTGTTCACTGATTTGTATGTTGGGTGCACATCTGGGGAAGCCAGTAGCCTTCAGTCTCACACACAAGGGCTGAAAAATGTAGGAATCAAGTTCACATGAGAAGAAAAAAGGCAATTCTTCTGCACATATATCTTTGTTTCTGCCTCTATCTCTCTCTCTCTCTCTAGTCCACTCATTACCTATTTTCACAGATCTGTCAATGTCATTTGGCTCTGTGAGTGATACTTTATCCTCAGAGACTTTCAGACATAGATCTGCATGCTGCAGTCAGGGGCTTCTCAAGCTGAGTGCTGAGATAAATCCTGTTCCTCTGCGCTGCAGTGTCAGACAGGGTAGCAGCAGGCCACCTGCTGTGTTGTGAAAAAACAGATCTTTATATGACTGTTGCGTTTCCACTTGAGAGATGGTGATAATGTGTGTAACTCATATACACACTGACACTCTCACACATGTGCATATAATATACATGCACACTGATGCTCATGTTCTTTTTATTTTACGTCCACTGAGACTACACTGCTCTACACCATGAGCATTACACACATTTTATGGTCAGAAATATGAACCCATGATATGTAAGTGGTCATATGTGAGAAAAAGCAGTCCTCTCTTTAGTGTTTGTTTTTGTCTCAGCCATGTCCAGCTGCTACGGAGGAGGTGAGAATGTGTTTAGGCTACTTCTGTGGAAGGATCAACAACTTGGAGAAGGCTGCACTATTCTGGACACTTGAGGGCAGAAAGAATGAGAGGTCCTGATCCAGCATGTACTAAAAAGGAAAAGAGGAGGAGGGGGGGTTCTGGTCTCTGAACTATTTTCACACCTTGTCCTTCAACCAGAAAAAAGGGTTTTTCCATTACAGCAACCTACTGAAAAGTCTAGAGTCGAGTCGAGTAATGCTCATTATGGCCTCTGCATTTGTTTCCGCCACCCTCTGCCTGCTTTACAGGTACATTCCATGGGTTAAATTTTGCCACCCCTCAGTCAGTCTTCACACCTCACGCATTAGCTTTACAAGCACAGTATAGACATGAACTAAAAATCAAAATGTCACCTCATAGTGGCACTGAAGGAAGCATCACCAAGGTTATGAGTATACATCATCTGGAGATTGCAGACCAAATTACTGGACCATGTGACTGACACTGCCATCCTGAGAAGCATGCTGTTACTGCAGATTGGTATTTGGTTAGTATGGCTTCTTTGACTGAACACACACATATAGATAAATAGATAGATAGATAGATAGATCACAACTATCACACACTTCTCTAAAACTACTTTTTTCTTTCATATTTCTCTTTTATGTGTTAATTGAAACTTACAAACTGTTGAAAACAAAGCAAGGAAACAAAAGTGAAAAAGTCACAGTATTTTTTTGGCCCACTTGCCTCTCTTTCTCTCTCCTAACACACTTTCCCTTTTAGTGCCAAAATAGTGCCTTTTTCTGTCCTTGTAGTGTGCCATTTTTTGACTGTTAGTCTGGTCCCTCTGTAAATATTTCCAGTATAGCATTACAGATACTAAATTGCTTCACAGCCTCCCAGGGGGAAAGCAGAATTCCCATCTCAGCTTCTCATGTGGAGCGCTTTTGGCAAATATTATTGCTGTTAGGCCCCCACCCTCTGCTGCCTCATGTTCCAGTGCCATCTTTTATCTTTTCATTTTTAATGCAAAATGTGTAAACTGCAGGTAATCTCAGTTTAATGATCAAGCATCAACCCTGCTTTTGCTTCTGTTTCTAGCAGTGTCTTTTTTATTTAATATTTTTAAAGCAGTTGCCTTTAACAGATTTATGACTGCAGCAGGCCAGACATAAAACCATGAAATCTTTAATAGCACCTTTAGCAGCTGTGTCTCTGTGCTAAAAACACTCCTCGCTCTATATATATGCTTTTACCGAATCTTGTTTCTAGCCAATTGGCAGGTCTTGAAGGTGACTGAAGGTGCTGTTGTTGCTGATGGTTAGGTTTAAAGGAAAGCTATGATAACCCCAGCTCTAGAACCACAAGGGTCACTCATTCTTAACACAGACAGTGTTACAGACAAGCCAGGTCCTATTATTACATCATGGGCAGACCATTACTTTTGCATGTGCTCAAACGTTGGCTTTTGGCCTTTAATGCTTGTTACAGCAATGAAATTGTTTGCTTTTTTTTAAATTTATTTAACTCCTATTCATTATAAATACCTTTTAGTTGTCACATTTTTAACTAAACAAGATCTCATACTCTACATTGCTTTACTGGGCACAGTCCTATATTTTATTTTTATGATACTTGCTCAAGGAAGAGTCTGACATTTTAGGATACGGCCTATGCTTGTTCACTTCTTTTCCTAGAGTCTGGCTTCCACTCATATATACATTATCTAAATATGAAGGTACAGCTAACAAGCAATTAGTTTTGCATAAAGACTGAAAAACAGGGGGGAACAGCTATGCTAACTCTGTCCAAAATCCAATTAGCCAATAAAAACATTAAAGGATCACTTATTAATTCATTACATCTCATTTTGAATCAGCTGCTGTAGCACCACATTTAATGGACAAGTATGAGACTGGTGCCACATCTTACAAAATATCAAATTAATTATTTAAACATTCTAACTTTGACAGTTTTCAATAGAAATTAGCTTGGAGCTTGGACCAAAATACATACTTCATGACCATTTCATACTGTACAGTGCAATAGCTGATCAGACGTTCATGTTCAGTGTGGGTTTGCATAAAAAGCACAAAAATTTTAGCAGAAAGGTCAGTGAAAGTAGTAAGTTAAATAACTATGTGTTGGTGCAGAGCTTGGGAGCTTACTGCCCAGCTTCTGTGACCCTTACCAGGAGACTGGCTGCGTTCTCATTCTCCACTGGATGCTCACAGCAGCTTACAACAGCAGCTCATATCCTCTAACCTCTACCAGCTCACTGACCTTTCCCCCTTGAGCTCTGTCCCATACATCATTTGAAAACCCTTGGGTATGTCTCTTATCTGGTCAGACTGGAATCAGCTGGGATCCTAATTGATTTATACAACACCTATGGATATATGGCTCCTGGATTAGGTTTTACCCGTTGTAGTGCATTTTGTGTTATAGTGGTATATTACACTGCACCATGGTGAGAGGTGCATTTTTATGTTTCCCCTGAACTGCTTTTGTCATTCTGCCAAACCCATGGACCAAAACACACTTCAGAAAATTTGAACTCTGTAAACCACCCATGTGTGGCTTTAGCCATGGCATTATACTGTATAAACTTCAGTGCTATAAATCTGTGACAGGTACAGTATGGTGTGTGTCTAAGATGTCACAGTTGGTGACCAGAAGGGTAGAAGACTGAAAGCAAAACTGCAAAGAATGAAAGGAATGACTGTGAAATCAAATAATGTGCTTTGCTGCCAAAACACAGATAATAATTCAGCATGAAGAAAAGAAGTCTATGGTTCACCAACAGCTGAGAATTCGTTAAATATCTCACTAAAACCATGTGTGTTTTGTCCATATGACAGAGGAGCTAATAAAAAGCAAAAATTAGTGTTTTCAAGATGTAAAAGCACAAGTGAAAAACACACAGAAACATATGAACAACATATGCAGCATATACATGTCTGCACACACTTACACACACAGGTCATAGCGTGTATGTTATTTTTAAGTCTATTTCCACTCATCAGTCAGGCCAACGACAACTGAGCTCCTATATCTGTGGTGGTGGCCTCACGCTGACACATCCCCAGGCCCCACTGTGTCCAAGGTAGGTCAAGCTTTTATATAAACACTGTATTTTAGTGAGGGGAGGTGGGGGGGTACATCTGTCATTACTGAGCAGTTAGCTTTGAATAACAATCTATAAGTATAATCAATTAATCTAATAATCCTGGAATTCAGACTTAGAAAGGCATCTGGTATAAACTGGTGTCTTTGGCAACAGAAGCCACTGTCATATGCCTCCAGCATGCTGTAGACATGAACAGCAGAGTTTATAGTCCAAGATATGAGAAACGTAAGATGCAGAGCATACAGAAACATATTTGAGGCACTTAGAATGTTATTGATTGAACTGACTAATTTGATTTGTTGGGCAGTAGTACCTGCTGCACCACAGTTACTAATCATATGCCCTCTTACAGCTGGTTTACTGTCTTATCAGGAGTTGGACAAGTGGTTGGTACCACTTTAGTCTCTCTTCACTTGACTTGTATTTACATGTTGTCTGGTCTTAGTTTGCTAATGTTAGCCAGTGATAAGCCTACATTCAGGAATCACCTGCTTATTTTAAGAGTTGGATGGTGTGTGAGCCCTGTAGCAACGTTATGAGCACAAGACGCCTGAAGTGCCTGAAGTGCTGCACGTTAACGTTAAACTAGCTGCTGATGGTCACTAAATATCTCCATAACATACAGTAGGCTGGCAGCGTGTTAAACATGTGTTAAATAATACAGAACATACTGTATAACATGGGGGTGTAGATGTTTAAAGGGACCTTAGATGGAAGTAAGCTGTTGAACAAAAATAAAGTAATGAGCAATGTAGGTTTTTTTTTTCAAATGTATTTTAAATAAATGATTGATGAATTATTTGCCCAGCACTATTCACAATTAGAAAATTCATTCTGGATCAGAAGAAGAGAATAATCAGTGCAAATGATGACTGGAAATGAAGGTACCAATAAGGATGGATGGAGCTTGTATTGTTAGGTGAGACAATTATAGATGAAAACAGCATGTGGGCCTTTCATTCAGGGTGGGGACCTTTTCCCTGGAGAACAAAGGTACATGGCAGACAGGTCTCACTGTCTTTTAGTCTCTTTTGTTTCATGGTTGCTGTTTTTACTCTTCATATTTATTCTAATTTTTGTTAGTCTTCTGTAAAGCACTGTGAACTGCATGAATCCTGCATGAAATGAGCCTTACAAATAAGCTTGTGGCCGATGATTTGATTGCAGACGAAGCAGGGCTGGACGGCCAGCAGTCTTCTGTAGCAGTTTGAGTGAAGCAGCAGGTAGCTGGGGAGCTGTCCAAAGACATAACGGCTCTCAGGGGAAGCCAAGCAAAAGAGAGGGGAAAGGGAGGAAAAGCCGAAAGAGTCCCGCAGGCCAAACATCAGCCATTTCTGTCCAGGCAAAATATATCCACAAGGCTCTGTTTCATCTCACAGCTTCATGACTTTCAAATATCATGCATAGTATGAGATTGTTATTTCTTTCTGCTGATGTGGTTTGACATTCTTGACCCATTTGACTGTTTAACAACACATTGTTGTTAATGGAATAGTTAAGTAAAGCAAAACACAAGCTTTCAACAGTAAACTCAGTGTAAATTCATTTGAGACTACCCTGTTATTGCTTTAGTATTGATGGAAATTAGCTGCACCACTCCCTTCTGACAGCGGGGGCCCAGCTGTACCATTAAGTCTTGTCTCTAATTGGGCTCCCCTCCCAAGACACAAACATACATACTGCAGCTGCAAGGGATCAATACATTGTCATCAACTCAGCAGCCCCCATCTCTGCAACATAAAGGCCATGGTGATGGCTTTGTTTTCATAAGGCAGCATGTCAGTGTTGCTTTATAATGTTTATCCCCAACCACAGATGGTTTTAGGTGTGAACCAGAGAAAAACAGTTCAGGGCAAGTAAAGGAGAAACAGAGTGACCCTCTGTTTCATAAATCTGTTACCAACCTGGTGCACTAACTAAAGCCAGATTACTGCAGCTCACGGGTGACATGTGTTTCTCAGGGGAAAAATATAGTATGAGGTGGGTCTTGCGCGCAAGAAGTCCAGCTACATGGAATACCTTTTTGAATTGAACACCCTATGACATGAGAATGGAAATAAACCATGCATTAAGCACCTGTGACATGTCCAGGACAGAGCACTTACTTGTGACGGGTCATGGGCTTGTTTGGTAACTGGTGAGGGTTGAGTCCAGCCTTGAACAAGTTGTACCTGCTTCCATAGAATAGGTTGGCATGACTTCCATAGAAAGTTCCTTTACTGTCCACCACAGGTAGCAACACTCCTAAGAGAAAGAACTGTGCAACCAATTGATTCAACTTGGTCCTCATTGTTTTTTTCTTGAACTGACTGATGAGGAAAACAGGGATTTAAAAAAAGTGATAGTTGTAGGTTCCTCAGGGTGTTGTGTTCAAGTTCCTCAGCACAATTGCAGCCTTATTTTCTTCAGTGGGCCCTGGAGGAGGCATAGAGCCCAAACAGCTGTAGCATCAGCAACATCCCACCCTGTACAGTTTTAGCTTGCACCCTAACCACACAGAGCAGAGACAAAATTAGTGAGGCTGAAGAGGGAGGGGAGAGGAAGAGGGGCAAGGTAAACAACACAAAGGTGTGCTGGAGGAGGGAAAAGGAGAAAGAGGAGAGCCAGACAGAAGAAAAGAGGAGGGAAGAAACTGTGTGAGCTTGTCTCTAGGAAAGTTTCAGCTCCATATACACACACATACAAGCGTGTGTAAGACCTGCTGACTAGGATTGTCCCTCCAAGTCTTCAGCACTCTGCATGAATGAGGGTGTGTGCGTACACAGCAGTGTGCTGCTCTGCTGCCTGTGAAGGGGCAGGCAGGCAGACAGCCTGTATTTGCATATCCCACCCCAACTCCAGCCTGGCTGCGCTGCACAAGGGAGGGGCTGACTACCAATATGATTCTGTGACTCGTCCCTCTTTTTCTCACAAACACATAAATACAAACGAACATATTAACACACATGATCAAATCAGAATCTGAAGAACAGAAAAGCTCTGTTTGCCCCTACCCCTGTTTCTCCAGTCTCCAAAATGTTTTGTCCCATTGCTCCCTTAATGGTTGCACGTCTTTACCCACTCCTTTTCTTTCTCCATCTGCTCTGGGAGCAGCTGTACATCAAAGTGTAGCCCCAGCATGCAGTGCCATGTGCATGGCTGCAGATCTGGACACAAAGGACCTCCTCCTTGCTTCACTGTGGTCAGCCATTACAAATCTCAGCCACAGCTTCAGCTGCGATCCACCCCTCATATATCTCACTGCATTTCTACGTAGTTCTTGAATTCATGACCTGTGTCAGGTTTACTCTGTGATTCATGTAAATCAATTTAGTGCATACAGTGTCTGTGTTTGATCTGTTTCTGAACAAATATTTGTTGAGCTCTAAGAGAGTTTTATATATCTTCACTACAATTGAAACTAAACTGTTGTCATTTGATAGGTCTTTCAGTTTTGGAGCTGAAATGTTCAATTCAATAACCTTTCTTGACTTGACCCATACACTCTTTTAGAAGAAACCAAAATCACAAAACCATTACAATAGTATTTACACCCATCATCTGTACATCTTTTTGGTCTTTTCTCTACTGGCATTTCTGGTGTTAGTGCCCAGTAACACCAGAAAATGGCTAAATGAGATTCATTTGTGCATCTGCAATAGATCTGAAACAGGTGGTGCTGGCATCTTGGGAAAATAGCTACTTTTCTTGTATTGTGCCTTATTTGTTTGTGGCAAAATGGTTATGAGGCAAACTCATGTTACACAAGCGGATCATGGCGGGTAGCCCTGACATGACTTACCTTGCAAAAAAAAAAAAGACTTAGAGGAAGAGTCAGGTGTCTGAACTGACCTCTGTGTTTGGATAGTTTGTTTGCTTTGTCCCCTCTCACCTGTGTGTGGACTATGCACCATTTGCCCTACTCTATTTATTCTTCATTTACAGTTCAGTGTGAAAGAAAAACACACAGCTTGACAGTGTGCAAAGAGACACATCACATAAGTGGAAAAGTTCCCATATATATTCCAGACCCAAGTGCACTGAAACTGCCAAGAAGATAGTGGATTTTCCAAGAGCTGTGTGCTGAGAAGCATTTTTGAGTTCTTTAAGTTCTTTCATCTTATTCCATGGTATGTACTATTATGTGGAATCATATTTACCTTGTTTTCTTTTGCTGCACAGATTCAAAGACTATTGTGTATGACCCTGCCAAGCATTTATCCCATCTCATCACCAGAAACTCACAAAAGCAGGGAAACAGTTTTCAATAAATGGCCGTCCCAGTACACTGACCAGATGTTAAGGAAACTCAAGAGATATCAGTTCACATATGTTAGTTGATGAAAATTTAGGACGTTTGAGGAAATCACATTTGCTTTATTGGTGAACACATAATCATACTCAGAGATATCAAATAAAAATGGCCACTAACACGATGAACATTTAGTAATAATGCAATATCTACTGTATGCTGTGCTGTATGTAAGCATCAGTGAAACTTATGTTGTCCATATGCATCTTGTGATTTAGGAAGAGTGTGATTTCTTTTTTCTTTTTTACTTTCACTTATTATTTTATTGCCTTTATAGTCAGAACAGAAATTATACATTTAAATTTCTACTTTTTTTAATAATTAATGAACCAAAATAGTTTTTGGTGGCTGTAAGATTTCTCCCATTGGATTTCTTCCCTTCTTCTTATGTTTTATGTATAATAATAATAATAATAATAATAATAATAATAATAATAATTCATTGAGATTCATGCTTTTGTGCTACATTTCTGAGTAATTCTACATTAAAATGTTTGTAGCATTGGCTAGCATAATAGATTTAAAATTTTCTATATACAGTATATAATATTACAGCACAATGTGCAATTTACTTACTTTTATTCACATATGTTTATATGACTTGGACTGATGATATATTGTAGTATCCAGTTTCAAGGGACATACAGGTACCACTATGTCCACTTTATTCTTTTTGGACCTCAGGGGCACAGGGAAAAGTAAAGAAAATGGATGGATTCCAGCTTTGTGACATCAGCTACTTAGCAAGAGAGGGACACTTGATCTTCTCTTACAGTAGTGAACTGGGAAGCAACCCAATCCTCATAAAGAAAATGAAGATTTGTTTTTCTGTTCAGGGCAAAACCATGAGAGTTGCGCATGTGTACCTAAGAACATTCCTAAGCGTCAAATAAATGCTAGAGCTTCTGCTAAACAGCATATGCAAGGTTTACAAGTGCATTTTATGCAAAACCACTCAAAGAACAAACATAATTAAACACATTTATTTGCAATTAAGCCACTTGAGAAGGTAATTGCTAGGTAGTGCGACCCTCTGTCATTTCCACCATAAAAGCTACTCGTTAACATGTGACACTGGCAGTAAAATCTGGACTCTACCTATGACAGTCCAACACAGATGGTGATAAATTACCCACTGTCTCCACTCTGCATGCAATGCAAGACCCACTGGTGGTTTCCAACCAAAGAGAGAAGAAATATTGTTCATTGGTTTGGGTATGGTAAGATTTCACATGACCTGCAAAGAAAAAATTCATTTACAAGAAACTCTCTATCCTAAGAACATATGCTGGTTTAACAGGGTTTAAGTTTGAATGGGCAAATTCTCATCTTAGAGTGTGATATTTCAAAGAATACACCACGGAGCAGTCACTGAACTGAGCCGTTACAGGCCCAGCATGTACTCACTAGACAGGACCATCATCATCATGGTCACAATAATAAATGTGGACATACTGTATATAGACACAAACCTGCTTGGTTAGACTTTGGAAAAGATCACGATTTGGTTTAAAATAACAACCTACTATTGGTTTGAAACACGAAACCAACAGGGGATTTTTCTCATGAGTGCTGTTGGCTGCTTGGTACCATGACAACGCTTCCTTAGGGGTGTATTCTTAACTAAAATAACTTTAGTAAAAGACGTCACTGTCTGACTTTGCCAAACATTTCCTTCTGTCATGTTCATGTCTAAAGTGTTGGTGTTCCTGTTCTACAGATTATTCTCCTGCTGTAGCCTTGAGCCAATGTCCATGTCCATGTCCATCATTATCTGCTGATTATCAGTCCCGTATAAGACTTCATCAGAAGAAGCCGTCTCCTTTAATATGCACAAGTTAATAATTAACTTTTGTATAGTTGGTGCATCTAAACTACATCTGTGTATTTTCCTCAGTGGTTAGGGGTGGCCAGTAGGAGAATGGTCACATGGTATCCAGACAACACAAAGAACATTTAAGTGACGTGTCTATGTGGTAAGTGATGAGGTCAGAGAACAAAATAAAACTCATAATAAAATCTGTACCTACACTAAACAAACTCTATATTTGATTTGATTGATTTGATTTGATTTATTCGTTCAAGCATGTAAAGACAGTTGATATGTCAACACACATAATTTTACACATATCCAACAAATGCTAATCCAATATCAATTTGCTTATACCTAGTACATGCTTGAATGGAGTAGGAAGAAGTCAGACTTATCCAGTCCTACCCCATGACATCATCTTACCATCATTGGTTTGCAAGCAATAAATGATTCACTTCTACACCACACAATATTATACTAAAAAAAGAATATAACAGTGTTAACATTCTTAAATCACACAATTGATATACTAAAGAATGGTTACAAAATATAATCATTG